TGGCATCTTTTGATCTCTTGCTAGACATTGCATTGATCTGAGCCGAACTGACCTGATGTTTGTTTTACTGAAGCATTAAAAAGTTATTGTCATAGATTTTGTAAGCTGTACTACGTTGAAATGGCACACGTCCGTTCATACAACATGGGTGTCCTCATGGGTAATTGGTGGGAAGAAAGAATTTTACAGAAGGTTTATCGTCCTTAATTGTTAAAAATATTTCCAGGAAGAATCGGGCTATAACCATGAAAAAACGGAGGCTTTAGCTTTTCTAACTAGAACTTTGAATAATCTAGTAATGGAAAATACTTTTGAGGTAATTTCAAGCCAAAAGTATTTGAAAGCATTTTAAAGAATACCTCCGGACCAATGGATGGATACTTAAGGCTTGGAAGCTCTGTTATTGTCGTCAATCCTGGTCCAACTTCATTTTATGTAAAGACTGGTATAGTTCCGTTTCGAGCACCATATGCACTGAGTTTGGGAATCATAAATGAAAATGTCCTTCGATCACGTATTCGCAATACAAAAGAAGATTTCATTACCATGATTTTGGAATCAGATATGCTCAAAATTGTTGCCTCTTCCACGCTTCATCCAGCAGTGAGGAACGTGTTTAGAGTTGAGAGGTGAGTTCCTATGCCTAATCAACTACTTATGAGTCCTTCGCTCTTTTACGGAATATTCTACTTTTTAACTGAAACCAAATATATTGAACTTCGTGCGACTTAATAATATATATATATATATATAAACTGCGATGAATACATCAAACTATAGTTTGATACAATAAACTAAAGTTAAAAGTATCCATGTATATATATCCAGTAAAGCGAATTACTGCGCGGTTCATCGCTGCGCCTAAATTTTATTCAACATACATATGTATATGATGTTCAATCAATATCGTTGTTTACCAAACTGTCATACATATGTATAGCGAGAGGCATATACAGAGACATTTAGAGTCTAAGATGGCATGGAAGTGTTACAATTAAAAGAAATAAAACAATTATAAAGCTGCTAATCTATGTATATTTATACCGAATTGTGCATAATCTCCTTTTGTTGGCCTAAATGCTACATAAATAACTAAGAACAACAACGTGGCAAACAAGCTCGTTTTCAGTTATGCGTAACTATGCCATT